CTTCATGCGCAGGCAGAGTGAGACCAGAGCAATGGTGAATTGTAGTCTTGTGAACGTGAGGCAGCAGGGCACCTGACACTCAGTGTATTCAGCTGAATGGAGGAAACCCATTGGTGTAGCTGAAAGAGAGTATTGCTTGGGTGGTGAAGAAAAGAAAGCCTAGATTTCTGCTACAAGTGTTTTGTTAATTTCAGCAGCAGGAGAGTGATTATACAGTGAGCTGCAATGAACTGTTTCATTACCTGCAACTGTCTAAAACTCTGCTGCAAGGGTATGTTGGCCTGTTAGGTAAAACCGAAAACTTGGGGTTTTTAGTGCTCTAAAATGCAATCTTTCTACTTAGATCCTTACCCTCTTCTTTTTTACCACTCCAAGAAAGAAGTTGGTTAATAGCATGCACTGGGTTCTGCCTAGAGAAAGGGAAACTGAGGGTAATTATATTCCTCTTTTGAGGGGATGAGGAAATGCAGCTGCACTACACTTTGATGTCAACAAGTAAGAAATGTAACTAGTTCAGAGACTTTTGTATTTTTATTATCCTGAATATTCATAGACAAGGTATTGGATACATGCACATGTAAGTACTTGATCCTGTTGATAAAATTGAGGTTGTATTTCTAAATCCCTGTGGAATTCAAAGATACTTTGTTTTCCTTCATTCCTACTGTGCTTGAAATAGATAGCATTTGTGTAGAAATAGGTGCTGCTATTTTGAAAAAGATGGGGTTTCACTGGAAAACGCTGATTTGAAGCAATTAAGTCAGGCAAATGATGGGCACATTGTGTTGGGTGGTGGTATATACAAAGTGCCTCATTTGCTTGTAAATCTGAGGCAGATAATGAAAACTGATTTTAGTAGTTACTGCTTTTTGACCAGGTGTTCTTCTCTCTTGTCTCTAGTGAGGGTAGAAGCTGACTTTCTCCATCCCAACCAACCAAAACCTTCGACCACAGCAGTTTTCTGCCTACTGCAGCAGTGCTCATAAATTGGAGATATTTTTTCTGTTACTTAACAAATAAAGAAGAAAAAAAGGGGCAAACCCGACTGCTTCCACTGAAGCTAATTTCCAGCTCTGAAAGTTTCCTTCTGTGAGAAGGATTTAAAGCTGAAGTCCAACCCCTGTGTGTCTTCTGGTATCTTGTGACTCATTGTTAAGTGTAGAGATTGATCTTCCTCTTTTGGACAAGTCAAACAGAGAGTTTAACTTTTTCATAGGATAAATTGGGATGTAGGAATAAAGTCTGAGTTGGAAAGGGATTTATTTATTGTTAATAAGTGGCCACCTCAGGTAGCTCTCCTGATTCAGGAAAACATCAGGGGTTTCTTTTTTATCCCACATCAGTCTTCATGTGGCAGAGAGTAAGGGATGGAAGCTAAATCCCCTTATATTGACCTAAAATGCCATCTTTGCCCAGTTATAACCAGACCTGTTGATGGCAGTGAGGATGAATTAGCTTCTCTCCCAACCTTATTTGGGTTTATTCTGTATTAAACACACCAGAATAGCCCCATGTCATTTCCAGATCATTTTCCTGATTTCAGAGGAAACTGAGCCAAAAGGAGTGGAAGGTTGGAATAACTCAGTATGTTGACACAGACAGGTGGAAGCAAGCCATTGATGAGGAGTCTTTGCGTGGCAAAGGGAGACAATGACTTGGTGATGTGTAGCAGCTCCCTGATCATTAAAAATAGACCTGACCTTTAAGGTGCTCTGTGGTAGCACTGAGGATTGATTTGTTTGGGTCTTTTTGTCCTTTTAGGGTTTTTGATAGCACAAGATGCTTCTGAACGAGCAGCTCTTCTTCACCCCGGAGTCCTCTCTGATGGGCAGTTCTATTCTCCTCCTGAATCTGTAGCAGGTATGTTCATGAGTTTTCATATTGATGTTGAAGTGCTACAACTCTGACCCCTTCAGAGGGTAAGGCAGGCGAAGCGGCCCTTCTAGCTCGAGATACTCTGCGATCTCTTCTTACCTTTTGGCAGTAGTGTTTCTGCAGTAGTGCACTATTTAATCTAGCCTAAACTTGGAGCTTTACAGTAGCTTAAGATAGACAGTGAACCTGAACCTGCTTTAAAGCAAATGTTTTCCTCTCATAACAAAAAGAAAAAGCCCTCTCTGTTACACAAAGGCTGGTTCTGTGGGTGTATTAAACCGGTCAAGCGCTAATTGCACCTCAACTCTGCATATCGCGTGCTTTGCTGTAGTTGAGGTATAAGCCAAATAAGCCCAAAAATACATGTAAATACAGCGAGATTTAAGACTGTGTTTGCACAAGGAAACTAGTGATTTATTTCTAGGTTGAGTGGTTTTGAGTTACTTGAGGACGTAGCATGACCCCCCAAATACTGTGCAGTCTTTTTGTACCCTAAACTGCAAATTTCTTCTGTAAAGCTGTGCTGTATTATGCAATACATTGAAAATATGAATACCTGCTAATGGCCAGAGATACCTTTGCGTATCTTGCATTATGGAGTTCTGTATATTGATGATACTTTGTCTCTGGTTGTTGAGCATCTTGGCATTAATGCATAGCTTAGAGCTCCATCTAGGGTTGACAAAGCATTAGGACATGGGAAATCCTTGCTTTGACTTGCCTTTTAATAAGCATTAGCAGTGGGAGTCTGCTTTTTATTCCCCCCTTCCTTCCCCCCTCTTTTTTTTTTTTCTTTCCAGTGCTCTAATAGCATTTTTATCTTCCTTTTCAGGATCTGATGAAGATTCTGAAGAAAAACAAGACAGTGAAAAACCAGTTGTATAGCAGACAGGAAAAAGCAGGTCAGTTCCTGTGCATACAGCCTGGATATTCCTAAAAACACCTTTCTTCTTAGCTCCTTCCCAAATCATTTCAACAGTGGGTACCTCTTAGCAGTTCATCACCTTGAAGCCAGACTGTCCCCTAATGGCTGCCAGACCCTTGAGAGCCTGGCCTTGAGTTCTCATTAACCCAGGCCTACAGGGGCTGAGTGCTGTAGGGAGCGGGGTGTAAAAGGCTGCAGGGTAGGGAAAGAACCCCTCCAGCATTTCTCTGTTGGCTGTGCTGAGAAGAGCAGTGGTGGACTGCATGTGTAAAAGCTCCTTTTTGTGGGTGTGGGGAGAGATGCTCCTCTAGAGATGGCAATGCAAGAGTGCAAGGAAGAGATTTAGTTTAGGTCTAGGACAGATGTTCTCACTTTGAAGACTGAGTGGACAAACCACCTTGGTCTTTCCCCTCTTCAGTCCGTTTAATACTATGAACTAGTTACACTGGAGCACCTGCACCTGAAGGCTGTTGTTAGTGCAGTTTGGTTAAATATGAATGGTGATTTCCTAATTTTGGAAATGACTTAATTTACTTTTGGAATTCTCTTGCCCCATGCTTTTACTTCACCACGTGTTTTAAAGCTCAAGCTAGGGGAGATATTACATGTTCTTGAGAAGCTGAAGCTTCCAATCTGAAACCTTCTAATAGTCCTCTGGAAGAGTAGAAAACCTTTTCCTTGTCAGTATCTGTTTCTTTGACTTGCGTCTTCCTTTACCCGGACTTCTGTCATCTGTTACAGAAAGAAAACCTCTGAGGGAAGTTGTTGGGGTTTGGAAACGGGCAACAACGTCCGTGACTGACTTGCTGATGGAGCTGCTGCAGGATTTACTCCTTAGAAAGCAAAGGGAACGGTTTCCATGTACTGTAATACCTCACAAAGGTGTACCTTGGTGACATATGTATATTAGGTTGCCTCCCAGGTGATATGAAAATATTTGTCCATGATGTATTTTATTATTCAGTGATTCCTGAAGTTGATCTTCTACTGACTAGGTAATTACTGGAGCGTGTTGTTTTGTGTACCTAATCAAGAGACTGGTAATATAATGAAGTAAAACTTCTCTATGGTCGAAGTCTATTTAATGATTGTTGGGACTCATGAGTAACATTATTTTATGTTGTTGCTAATTTGTCATTAGTTTTACATTTGCTTTTTTTTTAACTCCACGTTTGCTTTTTTAACAGACATGTTCACTTTCTAAAATAAAACTGTTAAAACAAGGGTGATGTGTGATGAGAGTTTGTTGCTTTATCAACTGAACAGCACCATGCACCACCCCCTGGGTTCTTGGAGGGTCATGGGGATTCTGGTTTGCAGAGGTCCTGCGCAAGATGTGTGCTGCTGCTGGCTGGCTGCTGGTTGGGATGCAGTGGTACATAGGTGGTGTCAAAAGGATGCAAGGAGCTGTAAATATACTAATATTGTATAATAATATATATTTTATGTAGTATTATATCAGTATATACTATATGTTTTATATAAAATATACTATCATATATTTTACTTTTATGTATATTCTAGAGTCTATATATATTATATATATTTATATTTTATAAAGCATATATATACTAAGACATAAAAATATATATATTCTAAAAATAAATATACAAAATAGATTATATATAAATTTATATCAATATAAATGCATATATAATATATAAACACATATAAGTATATATAAACAGATTTATATATTTTTATATAATTTATATAAAATGTAGATAAATACATATATGAATATACACAAATACATATGATTTATATATAATATATATATTATATATTTATATGTTACTTTTTTCTTTTCCTCCTGCCACCAGGCGGCGCTCTCCGCGACTGCTGGTGCTCACGGCTCGCTGCCCTTCCCCGCAGCCAATCGCAGTGGAGCCTCGTGCTCCCACCGTCTTCCGGCCCCGCCTCCGTATTGATATTTTGGCCTCTGATGGGCACTCACGTCAGCCAATCAGAGCACCGCCCGGCCGAGGGGGCGGGAAGCAAAACCTGGCGGGAGTTGCGCCCTGAGGCGTTCCCCACTCTCCGCCATTTCCGTGCTGCGGCCGCGCCGCCGGCGCCCGTTATCGGCCTCCCTCCAGGCTGCCCCTTCAGCTCCCACCCCCGGCAGGAGCCGCACTCCCGCCTCTCCCTTCAGAGGCCCGTGTATCCGCTGACCCTGGCCGCGCCGCCGGCCTTCCCGAGGCCCCTTTTCAGCCCAGCCGGGCGCCTATCACGGCGCCGATGGCGGCTGGCATCATCCGGCGGCTGGATGAGGCGGTGGTGAACCGCATCGCGGCCGGCGAGGTCATCCAGAGACCGGCGAACGCCATCAAGGAGATGGTGGAGAACTGGTACCGCGGGGGTGCCCGGGACCGGCCGTGGTTTGGGTGCTGAGGGGAGGTGCGGTTGAGCGCGGTCACAGGGAATGCGCAGGAGAGCGGCAGGTCGGAAGTGACTCTGAGTTAGTGCCTGGGTCCGCTGTGGTGTTGAGTGAGGCTGTGAATGATCTGCTGCCAGTGGGCAGTTAATGGCTCATCTGGAAGATAAATGGCGGCCTGGGGTTAAAATTGCTGCTGTTTCGGTGGCGAGTGTAGCTCGGTGGGAGGAGCAGAGTCTATGGTGGGTTTCGGTCATGAAAGCTGTTCAACCTTGCTGTGGGTGGTGTTTGGAATCGCTGTAGGGGGAAGGAGGAGTAATCAGACTGTTAAGGATTTATCTGAAACAGGATGAATTCTGATATCCCTGTGGGGGTGCTGAGGCGCTGGCACAGGGTGCCCAGAGAAGCTGTGGCTGCCCCATCCCTGGCAGTGCTCAAGGGCAGGTTGGACACAGGGGCTTGGAGCAAGCTGCTCCAGTGGAAGGGGTCCCTGCCCGTGGCAGGGGTTGGAACTGGATGAGCTTTAAGGTCCCTTCAACCCAAACCAGGCTGGGATTCTGAATGGCAAGCAGAAATAAACCATCACTTGTGTGAGACAAGTTTTGTATCAAAGCCGTGCAGTCCTGCGTTCTCTGGGATTGCCGCTTTCTAGAATGCTGTCTTGTTTCCTGCAGCTTGGATGCTAAATGCACAAGTATCAACGTGATAGTGAAAGAAGGCGGTTTGAAGTTCATCCAGGTGCAAGATAATGGCTGTGGCATCCGAGTGAGTACACAAAGTTGCTGATGTTTAATACTGCCTTTTAGAATGTATTTCGATTTACAAATGTTCCTGACCGTGACCTGGGGATGGAAAGTGACTGCTGCTCGTCCCTGTCCCATAGAAAGAAGATCTGGACATTCTTTGTGAGAGGTTTACTACAAGTAAACTGCAGAAATTTGAAGACTTGGCTAGTATTTCTACCTATGGCTTTAGGGGTGAGGTAAGCTCTTTATCAAGTTTTGACACGGTTTGCTGTTGGTTGTTACCCTGTTGTAGCAGGGTTTACACATACTGTTTCTTTCCCAGTGGCCTTCACTGGAGCTTCTGCTTTCTGAGGGAATCTGCCATGTGAATACAGTTTAAAATACGTTTCTATGTCTTTATGGATGACTGGTGAGAGGTGTATGTTCTTTTTGCTTTCTGGAGTAAGAGTTGGTTGGTTCAGTGTTCTGGGTTTTTAAGGAGAACAAGGCCTGTCTTCTGAAATGCTGCTTCAGAACCCTGCAAGTAGTAGACAATGAAAGGTTTGCGTGGAGGGTGCCTCTTACATGTGAGACATTTGTCTAAATATCATATGTAAAGCTAAATGTTTGAAATGTCCATTTGTCTTGCTTTGCTTTTGGTGTTAGTCAAAGTTAGTATCTCTGATCCCTGAGATAGTTGTTCTCCACGTTCTCCTAGGCTGTATCTAAACTTGTCTGAAAGAACAGTCCAGGATGAGTTCCGCTTTCCCATCCAGATGAACAATGAGATATTTAAGTATGCTGCCTGTGCTCAGATACATAGATCATCGTATGCTAGAGAATGGACTGATGAGTCCTCACATAATACCACCATAATCAGCTCCACAACCAGTGGACTCTGGTCCTCAGGCTGTGTGGGAACGTCCATCGAGTCTTCCAGGAAAACCACTGTAACCAGGCTTTGTAATCTTGCATATGGTCAGGAGATGAATTTGGACAGGGATAAGGAAGTAATAGCTGAAAGCTTTTTGTTAATGTGAAAGAAAGGGCACAGCTGTAATAGCTTTGCAGATGTCTTTTAGCTATGTTACATGCTTGGCTGCTTGCATTGGCAGAGATAATGAAATGTGAGAAAAGCCAAAAGAAGGTCATGGATAAAAGTCAGTGTTGTATGTACTAAAAGCTGTTAAAGCCCTGCTGACCTGCACTTTCAATGCAAGGGTGTTTACTTGCAAGCAGTATATCAAAGTTTAGTGATGCTGTTTAAAGTGTGGACACTCACTGGTGGCCAGAGGAAGGTTTACAAAGGTGCTTTCTCTTTCTCCAGGCATTGGCTAGCATCAGTCATGTTGCCCATGTTACAGTAACAACTAAAACAGCTGATGCAAAGTGTGCATACAGGTAGGCTACCTGTTAATTATCCACCTGGCTGCTGTGATCATGAACAGATGCAGTTAATTATCTTCAGTGCCCTTAGCAAGGAGGAGGTAGTCAGGTGTAGTCAATTGTCTTTTCAGTGACCTTAGTAAGGAGGAGGGTGGGGTGAGAAGTTGAGTGGTTCTGGGGTAATTGCAAGAAAGAATGTGAGGAAACATAGTTTGAGCGATTGTTTTGTTCTGTTTTGCTTTTTCTAGATTGTAAAGGTAAGCTTTAGCTAAACAGTGGGTAACTTGCTGAAAGACCTGTGTGTCTTTTGTGCTCAAAATCCTGTCAAAAAGGAAACAGATCTTGTATGTGAAGTCGAGAATTGCTTATAGCTGAAGAGTAAAGTGTAGTGGAAGGAGTTTTATTAGTCTAGGTCTAGCTATTAAAGAAAGATAAAATGCAATAATCCTGCCATTACAGGAAAAGCCTCAGTAACACAATTTCAGAGCCCCTTTTTCTCTGCTGTTATTCTCACTCTTCTGCTGCCCCTCTGGGATCCAAGGTCAATGAACAGTTTTCCTCCAGCACAAAGGTAGTGGCGGGGGGGGATTGCAACCAATTCTCAGTGTCCCGAGTTCCTTGCTGGGAGGAGTGTGGTGATGATGTGATTTCTTTTGTCTTCTCCCTTTTGCCATCCTGGGTCTGTCTGCCCACTGTAAACCTGGGTGTCTGACAACTTCTCCTGTTCGTTTTTCTGCCTAGAGCTACTTACAGTGATGGAAAAATGAAAGCTCCTCCAAAGCCCTGTGCTGGGAACCAAGGAACTCAGATCACGGTAGGGTTTTGTGCCTGTTCTCTCTTGTCCCTTCTCTGTTCCCTGCACCACTCACTAGTATGTGTTGCATTATCAGGTACATGACAGCATCACCTTGTCGAATGTTTTCCAAGTAATGATGTGGGGGTTTTGTTGGGGGTTTTGTTTTGTTTTCTTCACCGAAGAGAGCAAGGTAGATGTCAGAAGTTGCTGGGGTGCTATGGTTGGTTGGTTCTGGTGGGCTTTTTCCCCTCCTTCTGAGGGTAACACTGTTACTTGCTCTGAAGTATCTCAAAATCCTTCTGGACTGCTGAAAGCCTCAATGAACAGTTTGAATTACAAGGAGCTCAGAATATGGAGGAGTGGTGTGCATTGTGTGAGCCAGAGTGGGAAGATGAGGGCTGGCTCAGGGAACTGCAGAGAGCCACTGTTTGTTGTTCAGTTGTATCTTTCCTGTATCTTCCCAAGATTTTAATGCAGTTTGGGATTAGTGCCGGCATTATGATTAAGAGGAATAAGGAGCTCAGAATGGGAAGGAGCATGTGTGTTGCACAATGCAGGGTGGGAAGTGGAGGCCTGGCCTTGGAGTCCACGGTGGGAGTGCATCCAGCCAGCTTCCCACGTCAGCCTTTAGGATGATGTGTCTTGAAAAAGAAACTGAGCTTTAAACTTCTGCTTTCTCAGTATAGCAGAGAAGTAATTTGCATATTGCTTAAATAAATAGTGCCAGTGAACAGTTTAAGCTGCTGTTTTAATGACATTAACAGCCTTGATTGCAGCAACTGTTTTAATGCTGACTTGCATTTCATTAGAACACACTGTAATCTTAATCTGTTGTCAGAGAAGCTGTGGCTGCCCCATCTCTGGCAGTGCTCAAGGCCAGGTTGGACACAGGGGCTTGGAGCAAGCTGCTCCAGTGGAAGGGGTCCCTGCCCATGGCAGGGGCTGGAACTGGATGTTTTAGTTGTTGCTGAGTGGTGCTTACCTGGATCAACGGCTATTCAGTGTCTGGTGCTTTGTCAGTGGTACTTAGTTGCCAACTGGTTTAAACCACAATTGCATAGCAAGAGAAGATTTTGAAAGTTAGTTTTAATTGTGATCTTTTTCTCCATAGGTTGAAGATCTCTTTTACAATGTAGTGACAAGGAGAAAAGCTTTAAAAAATCGAAGTGAAGAATATGCAAAAATACTGGAAGTTTGTGGCAGGTAAATCGAAACAGGAGTTTCCTATTCTTTAATCTGCCCTGGGGAATGCTGGGGACTAGCATGTGTGTGCCTGGTGTCATTTTTCAAGGGAAGTAACCTTCTGCTTCATATACTGCAGTATTTGGCTTTAAGCTGACAAAGGAGAGATTTAGGTTGGATCTAAGGCAGAAGCTCTTCCCAGTGAGGGTGCTGAGGCACTGGCACAGGGTGCCCAGAGAAGCTGTGGCCGCCCCATCCCTGGCAGTGCTCAAGGCCAGGTTGGACACAGGGGCTTGGAGCAAGCTGCTCCAGTGGAAGGGGTCCCTGCCTGTGGCAGGGATTGGAACTGGATGAGCTTTAAGGTCCCTTCCAACACAAACTCATTCCATGATTCCCTATTTTTCAGGTATGCCATCCATAACTCAGGCATCAGCTTTTCAGTTAAAAAGGTATGAAAATAAGTCTTTATAATTTCACTGTGTGTCTGTATATGTGTATGTATATGTAATGTACATGTCTGATAATGCTAGGAAGTGTGCACTGCATCTTCTGCAGTGGGGGTAGCGTATAGAACCTTCACTTGCATTGAAATGCTGAAGCGTATTTGATGCTGTTTGGATAGGAAATGCATCAGTTAAAAGCAAACAAGGCACAAATATATTTGTCAGGAGTTTGGTTGTTTTCCTGTGTGGCCAACACTTTATTTCACTGTAGCTTTATGAGCTGTTTTAGCTTCTTTTGAGAGTCTGGTCATTAATTGCTGTATGAAAGAGGATGGGGTTGAGAACCTTCTGTGCCATTCTTAATTATTAGCTGAGCTGCTCATGTTCCTTGCTTTCAAACTGAATTTGATTGAATTGATGATGCTCATTTCTGCTCTCTTCAGCAAGGTGAAACCTTGTCAGATGTTAGAACCTTATCAAACGCCTCAACAGTGGACAACATCAGATCCATCTTTGGGAATGCTGTTAGCAGGTATGTTGATGCCGTGTTTCCTTCTCACATTTTCTAGTAGATCTTAGAGCCCTAGAATGGAATGCAAATCTCCTTCCCCTTTCTCTCCTGATGAACATGGGCTGTGCTACCCTCTACTTCTTCAAGGTGAATTGCAGAAAAGAGGCAGTGTTGCAGTATCAGAACTCTCACCAGTCTTGCAGAATATGGGACATTCCTTCAGGATGTCAGAAGGAACGAGGGAGGTTGCAAAGCTGTTCCTGTGATGTGCTAAAAGAGAACTCAGATTCTCTGTTCTGGATTCCTGTGGTTTGCTATGCTGACAAAAGCTGTGTAGCTGAGGCTGAGCAAACAAGGCAAAGCATTTTAAACCAAATACATTTTCAAGAGAGGATTGGGTTTATTTACCACGCTAGGGAAAATTCTAAGACTTTCAGCTGTGAAGGATCCTTTGAATGGACTCATAGAATGGATTTGTCCCATGAATACATGGGTGTCAGTTTGATTCAGTACTAGAGTCTCATTTGAAGGGAACGTAGCTTTTAATAAGGGCTAACACTGTTATGAGACAGCAAACTAGAGAGGTTGTTTAGTGACAAGGTTTGCGGTGTTTGTGTTTCTTTCTTATGTGTTTGGTTTTTGTCTGCTGCTAATGCTTCTTGCATTTCCTTTCAGGTTTTCCTTTGTGCATTTCAATGTAAATGTTTTGATCAGATATTTTCAAGCAACACTTTCATTGTGTTGAGCCTGGCTTCTTGTTCTGAATTACAAAATGAACACAGATAAAAATGGCATTCAGCAGATACCAAGGTTGAATTGGAAATAAGTATCCTGTTAACCTTCTCTCTGCCAGCTTCTGAAGCTGGCCCAGTGCCTTGCTATTGAGCTGTGCCCACAACCTGCCAGAGTGCGTTTCCTTGACTAACGAATCATGAAAATCATAAAAAGTTATGACAGTGATTTTGGTGGCTCACCAATGAATGTTTGAGCTCTCAAATCATTCCTGAGGGCTTCATGGTACAACTGTGAGATGAACACAGAAAAGTACAGTGCTGCTCATGAGGACTGCTTGAAATGTGCATCAGCAGAGGGAGTCATTATTTGTATGTGTCTCTGAATAGGGAACTGATAGAAGTGGACTGTGAGGACGAGAGCTTGGCCTTTAAAATGAAAGGCTACATCACAAATGCAAACTACTCTGTGAAGAAGTGTATATTTCTGCTCTTCATAAACCGTAAGTTTTAAACAAAAAGGCACTGTTTTGTACATTCACAGGCTGCTCATGTAATCATCAGAAGAACAAAACTTCCTGAAGAGCTACAGAGTGTTTGAGCCTTCCTAAAAACCTGAAGCAATAAGTGTTACAGTTCATTGTAGATCTGAAGGTGCTTCTCTGTTTGTAGTGTGCATCATGCTTTGCACTCTGAGTAGTGGGAAGCAGCAAAGGCTGGGCCTAAAGACACTGAAGCTTGCAGAGTATCAAGGTTGTAATTGTGTCCTGCCAGCTTACATGGGGTGGTCTCTCCATTCTGTAGCCATGTTGGCATGGGGTGCAGCAAACATTGATGGCATGCAGTAATGAAAAGGTAGTCTGGTTATTTTAGTGTCTGTGGGAAAAACTCCTTCTAAATATAAAACATCCTAAGCAGATACTGCCTATTCCTGGGTTTACATGACGAATAAATAAGTCTAGGGGGGAAAACCACATGTACCAGGTGCCCTCTGAAGATAGCAAGGGTGAAGGTGTTGGTCTGGAGAAGCAGTGGGGTGCTGTGTGCTGTGTTGTCAGTGAGGTTCTTTAGAGCAGTGCTTTGTTGTGTGTTTCAGATCGGTTGGTGGAGTCGGCCGCTCTGCGGAAAGCCATAGAGGCTGTATATGCTGCTTACCTGCCAAAAGGCACACATCCCTTCCTGTACTTAAGGTAAAGTAACAGGAAGAAGTAGCCTTTTAATACCACCTTGTAGGATATAGCTGGGGTGATTCGGTTTAGAAGGGCATTTGTGATCCTGATAGCATTAAGCATTGCACCGAGGTAATTAATTGCCAGACAGGAGGTAATTAAATCACATTAAAGAAATCTTTAGAGAGGTCTTGTTTTCAGAGGTAGTGAGTGTCTGTAGTTTCAGGTTAAGTCCCCTCATATTAAATCATGAGACACTGCAAGCAAAAGATATTTCTGAAACCTCTTTTTAGTCATAGTACAGTGGAGAGATTGGTTTGAGCTTCCTTGTGAAAGCTGGTTTGGGGAGTTTGGAGTAGAGTTCTGCAGATCGGTTATTAATACACCCAACAGTTTGACTGCAGTGTAACTTCAGGAGGCTTCAAGACCACTTTGTCATCTTTGTTATGAAGTGACAGCCCCACCTTTTGTACTGAACCACTCTGTGCCCTCTCTGATTAGGTTAACTTCTTTTCCACTGTTTTCCAGCCTGGAAATAGCCCCCCAGAACGTAGATGTGAATGTGCACCCTACAAAACACGAGGTCCATTTCCTTCATGAAGACAGTATTCTGGAGCATGTACAGCAACACATAGAGAGCAGGTTACTGGGCTCGAATTCCTCAAGGGTGTACTTCACTCAGGTGAGAGCACGTTTGAAGTGACCATGGCTCTGCACTGTTTGAGCTGTGGTGGATACGTTTACTCTGTTGAAGAGCACTATCTATGCAATGATTTACAGTCATCAGCTTTGTACTGGTATCTCAAGATCTTTGTGTCTTGGGGCTTAAATTGCTTTAATAAGCCAATGTTAATGTGGCAAAGGAGACGAAAAGCATACAAAACCATTGTCGGTACCTTCCTGTCAGGTATCTGATCGGTGGTTTTGGTTTTACAAGTGTATTAGCCTTGATAGGTGGTAAATTGGGTCTTTTCCTGCCCTGGTTCATGTCAAAGATGTGACTGAGGGAACTGTTCCATGTATTTGACAATGCTTTGGGTGTATTTGACACCACTTTGGGCGTATTTGATGCCACTTTGGGCTTAATCAAACCAGAGGAAAATCAGGAAGATTCCCTAATCTCTTGTTGTGTAGAACGTAAGAATTACAAGTGTTTAAAACTACAGATTTCTTTGTGATATTTTATATATTAAAGATTTTCTCTTTGAGGCAAAGGAATGCCAATGAACCATTTTCTTAACTGCCCGGCCAGCCACATTCCCATTATGTGGATTGCAAGTGCAGAGCCGGTGGCCTGTTCCAGCAGCTGACGGTGTGTCCCTGGGGTGTGAAAGCTCCTCCCCCGAGCAGTAATGTGCTGTGGGAAGCGTGGCTGATCTTTGTGTCCTCTTTCCTTCCAAGGCCTTGCTTCCCCGGGCTGACTGCTCGTCCAGCAGGGTTGTGAAACCAGCGGCAAAGTCCTCGGCGGCCCCCAAAGGAGCCGGGGACAAAGTGTACGCGCATCAGATGGTGCGCACCGATTCCCGGGAGCAGAAGCTGGATGCGTTCCTCCAGCCAGCAAACAACCCCCTGAGCACAGCCCCCAGGGAGGCACCAGCCCAGGGCAGCAGCAGGCCCGTGGAGGGGGCAGTGGGGCTGCAGGATGCTGAGATGGCAGATGTCAGTGCTCCGGTGGAAGCAGCCCCCCATGTTCAGGACCCAGCGGTGCCCGGGGGGCTGAGAGACAGCGAACACTTGTCTGCTGAGGCAGCACCGCCTCGGTAAGTGTCACCTTTCCGGGGGGAATATCCATTTATTTCATGGCACGGCCCTGAAACTGAGGAGTTTTGGACTTTCTTGGAGGATTTTTCCTAGAATAATTCCATGGCATTTTGTGGAGAAGTTAAACTCCAGCTGTGAATGGCAAATCAGATGAGTTGTGATGGAGTTTGTACCTGGGATGTCTGCGCATGCTGAAAGGCAAGAAACTGTGTAGTAATGACATGAACTTCAGCACAGATTGATCTTTGGAGACCCTCCCTTTTGGAGGGTATAGAAACCCCATCACTGAATATGGCAGACATTGTCCTAGTAAAGATAAAAATGCTGGAAGGTTTCCATAGCTCCTGCTGTTACAAGAGGCCAGAGTCTTCTGAGGGAACCTGATGTCAGTGTCCCCCACTGTGATCATTAAACACGAGAATGGGAAAAATCATTAAAGACTTCCACATTTTCTTTGATGTGACTTTAGAGGTCAGCTTGTTTTGTGCTGCAACACGTGCTTGTGATTGGTGTTAGAGTCAGGAATTCTCTTAAGAATTACCTCTTCCTATGGAATTATGCCCAGGAAGTAAAAGAAAACAGGCTTTCTTCCTGGGAATCATTTTGTGTCAAGGTACCTCACGTGAATTGAGCATCCCATCTGTTGGTGCGGTGGAAGAGTTAACATAGGCCCTTTTGGTTTGCTATTGCAGGAAGAGACCACGGGAAGACGAGGTTCTAGAAATGGAGGAAGATGACAGCGGCGAGGACATGACTGCTGCCTGCACCCCTCGAAGAAGAATCGTCAACCTGACCAGCGTGCTGACTCTCCAGGATGAAATCAGTAGCCAGGCACATGCAGGTAAGCAAGGCTTCTGCTGCTCCGGATTAATGTTGTTCCAGCAACTGTGTTGGAACTGCTGAGGAAAAAGGTATTCAAGAGCTGGCCCAGTCAGCTCCACTGTGCTGCTGAGTGAGCTTGTAACAGAGATGTGTCTTGACCACCAAGGGCCAGGGTGTGAAGAGGCGGTGTCCAGCCTGGGGAAGAGAAGGCTCCTGAAGGGGAGGCTTTAAAGCAGCTTCAGTGGCTACAGGAAACCTGGAGAGGGGCCTGGGACAAGGGCCTGTAGGGACAGGCCAAGGGGAATGGCTTGAACCTGCCAGAACAAGGGCGACTGAGCTGAGCTGTTAGGCAGAAGCTCTTCCCTGTGAGGGTGCTGAGGCGCTGGCACAGGGTGCCCAGAGAAGCTGTGGCTGCCCCATCCCTGGCAGTGCTCAAGGCCAGGTTGGACACAGGGGCTTGGAGCCAACCTAATCTCCTGTGGCTGGAAATGAATTCTGAAAGTGTTCAAGTCAGACCCTGGGATTTATTCAATGTTTAATTGGCACTGTGGGTTAACTGTTGTGTTACATCCTAAGGGAGAACTATGTATGTTCTTGCACACAAACGAGTAACACTTCAAAACATGGGTAATCGGTAGTACAGACCGTTAAGTGGCAGCAGGGCTGTAGCAGTGACTGAGCAGTCATCCGAGACTGTAATGCCAAAACCCCACAATCCACTCAGATAAATAAACTAGGGTAGGGTTGCAAATAAGAAACTATACCTTATTGTTTCTTCCCCCCCTCCCCTGCACTGTTTCAGGTCTTCAGGAGATGCTAAGGGACCACTCTTTTGTGGGCTGTGTCAGTCCTCAGTGGGCGCTGGCCCAGTACCAGACAAAACTGTATCTTCTCAATACAACAAAGCTCAGGTAAAGCTCACGTCAGGCTTGTCAGCTGAAGTAAATACCAATTATTAGGGTAATTAGAAGAAGGAAGGAAATAGTGGGGAAGACAACATCATTTACTTGCTGCCTGTCTGAAAAGTCATGAGGCAAAAGATGGAGCAGGGAGTCCAGAACAGTGGGAAATGAGCCTGGTGTGCTGGGGAACAGTGACAGGGAATCAGCAGAACTGCCATAGCAGCTGTGCTGTGTGCTCCTGGGCTGGGGAAGGGAATAGATGTTGTATGAGTAAAGAGGTTGAAATACAAGGTATCAGGATTAATGGATAGTGGCTGCGTGTGTGAGTGGGTACCAGTGTGGCCCATGTCAGAAACCAAGAAACAAGATTTACTTGTCAGCATCTGCATAGTGCATGTGAGTCTTTAACTAAACTGTTCAGGTCTGGGGTAGTGTTACCGGATGTGTACATCTGGTGTTTCCAAAAGGAGCCTCACTTTCCCCTCTTAATAATGGGAACTGGTTGAGACATGATCCTGTCCATATAACTAACTTCTGTGCTTCCAATTTAGCCAAGAACTCTTCTACCAGATCCTTATTTATGACTTTGCAAACTTCGGAGTCTTAAGGCTGTCTGTAAGTACAATTTTCCATTCTGTCCTATGTAAAGTGATTTTTAAAGCATTTCTTTACAAGAAGCTTCTCCTCCCGGGGAAATGCGTGGTTTCAGCCGTTGGGTTTTGTCCACTCCAAGACTGCTGCATTTCTTCTACAGTAAGAATAAAACATAGACTTACCAGTCTGCTTTGGAGCTTGGCTATGATAAGCAGAACTGTTTGCTCTGCAGGCCGGAGATGGTAAATGACAATTAGCTGTGTGTGTAAGAAACAGCTGCTGATTTCCATTAGTGCATGTTGATCACTAACAGGTTTTGCCTCCTCCATTTTTAGGAGCCAGCTCCTATATATGAGCTTTCAATGCTTGCTTTAGAGGACCCTGAAAGCGGCTGGACAGAAGAAGATGGCCCAAAAGAAGGGCTCGCCGAGTACATTGTGGAGTTCCTCAAGAAGAAGATTGAAATGTTGAAAGAATATTTTTCTCTTGAAATTGATGAGGTAACTTCTGCTCTTACTGCTAACCGTAACTGAAAGGTGGCCTTGGCAGTGCTGGCTTTATGGCTGGACTCCATCTTAAAGGTCTTTTCCAACCTAAGTGATTCAATGCTTCCACATTTGGGTAGATACCTGCAGTAGTCTGCTTGCAGTATCACCAAGAACTGTCAGGATTTAAGCTGCTTTTAGAAGGCTGCTACACAAAGTAGTTTTACATTCAGTTAGTTACCAAGTCAAATGCTTTAGTCGTTGCTTCTATAGCTAGGATGTAGATACATTATCGAACAAGATGTGCACCTGGTTACAGTACCCCCCTTGCTCTCAAGGTGCCTTGCCTTTGGCCTAACGCATATCTTACTCTACAAAACTGAATTGCTTCATCGAGGGTCATATAACCCAGACACTTCACGGGGATTTTGGTGCAGTTACTGGAAGAAAGAACATTCGGGGTTTTTTACTGAAGCAGCAGTGATTTTTTTACAGGGAGGAAACCTCGTTGGGTTGCCACTTTTGATAGAGAGCTATGTTCCACCGCTGGCAGGGCTGCCCATGTTCATCCTCCGTTTGGCCACAGAGGTATGCTCTTTCATGGTTTTATTCATTCATAAATGACTCTTTCTTTTTAGGAAACAATGAAGTGAATCAAATTAATTCATTAGAAGCTGCCAAGGCAAGGCTAGAGTTGGTTAAATGCACTGGTTCATGCTCCAGCCACTTGAGCTGTGGTTACTGATGGGTTCTGCTTTGCCTCTGCATTCACTACTGATGGAATGAGCATGTACTGCGAGTTGAAGGCCTTCATTGCTACATTTCTTTGTTCTATACTTTTACCTTGTCAGCACAAAAACGGCCAAGACATTATGATGACTTAAACATATTAACAGTCTCTATCAGGTCTCTGCTGCCCAGGTTGTACTAAATGACTTCTTTTTCTTCTAACAGGTAAACTGGGATGAAGAAAAGCCATGTTTTGAAAGCCTGAGCAAAGAACTAGCACTGTTCTACTCCATTAGAAAGCAATACGTAATAGGGGAAGCCAACCCAACAAACTCTCAGGTACATGAACATGTAACTAGTCCTGTGAACAGGTAACACCACAAAGCAAACTCCTTCTCTTTCAGCTCTGGACTTCTGGTCCCAACACTGCTTTTAGTGAAGTGAATCAAGCAGCAGCGTGGCAAGAAGAACGTGGCTTACATTTGTGATTATATGTATTGAAAGAACCTTTTAACTCTGGGTATTGCAGGGTACTTGGTATTACAACAGTTCTTGGCCTCTGAGTTGGGGCTGTATGTTTTAATCTACTGAGCCATAATAGATCTCTATAGAAGAACAAGGATGCATAGAAATTATAAATACAGCTTGCTTCCATCTAAATATCTGCTTAATCATTCAGTAAGAGTCTTGACCTTAGCTTGACTGTATACAGTGAACTTCTCTAGTACTAGGAAGAATTTTACCATCATAGTCATATGTAGTAAAGGCGTTTAAGGAATACTCTCCTCTTGTCAGTTTAATTGGTTCTCTTTTTCCCCTGTATTTCAGGCCGAAGGTTCTGACTCTGGCTCAACAAAGTGGAAATGGACTGTGGAACATGTACTTTACAAAGCTTTTAGGACTCATCTTTTACCTCCTAAACACTTTGCAGAAGATGGCAGCATTTTGCAGCTTGCTAACCTGCCTGACCTGTATAAGGTTTTTGAGAGATGTTGAGCAAGTTATTGTTAGAGACTGGGGCATATCCAAAACCACTCATGCTGCATTCTGTTCTACTGTGTAGAGGAGAAAGCTGCAAACTTAATGGAGGAAAGAAGAAGAGGAGGTTTAATATCATACTAATAGGATTGCAAATCATCTGTTTGTTTCCCATCTGTTGATAAAAGAAGGAAAAGAATAGTTTTAGCCTTGTGTAAACCCAACTGTAGTGCCTAAAATCAAATCCACTTAAACTCAGTGGCACCGTTAGGCAGTATGTTAACGAAATACAGCTCTTACTGAAGAGAAATCACTGGGTTAAGTAACGGGAAGGAGACATCTATTGAAATGCGAGTGCTTTTTGCTTCTTGAAAACAATACAGGTTATCCACCTCCTTTTCGTTTGTTTGTGTCTGTTGTGTGACAGTACCTACCCTGTGGATCTACACGTGAAGTGCTTAAAATCATCTGTTGCTGTAGGAGCTTGTTCTGCAATATTTCAGACCTCTGGCTGAAGTAGGGCCAATCCCTCCCCTTTAAATCAAGCAGTCAGCATACACACAGGACATGGGTGCATTATAGGATAGAATGTGTGTCACATATTGATATAAAGATAAAATATAGAAGAACATATACTTATGTATCAGTATATGCTTTTCATATAAGTTTATATTATGCTTTTTTTAGGATCTATAAATTTCTAATGTGTGTAAGTGCATAAATGATATACAACTTAAAAAAAATCTGTGTACTAATGTATATACTATATTGTACATACAAGTACAATAAATATTATATAAAATATATAGTAATATATATACATATAGTGTGTGTATATATACACTATACTTCAATATATTTTTAAATTTATTTTTCATAAAATATATGTTATATATCAGTATATATGTTTTATAAAATTTAAGTACCTATGTTTTTTATTTCCTTTTCTGTTTATGTACAATATATATTTTTACACATATTTTATAAAATATTTCATATATTAGGATATAAATTATGAAAAATAGGTATATAATATATATAGTTATATACTATTTAAATATAATGCATATTATGAATAATGTATTTATTTATACATACTTATACATAAAAATTATCTCAATTTATATAAAAATCCATTTATATATTATTTAAGTTTAAGGATAATATATGGATCATATACCTTATAAAAGATATATAGTATATTCTAAGATGAATAATTGTTATATAAAATATAAATAGTGTTTTATAAAATTTACATAATAACGTATATATATATGTGTACAGACATGTACATATACACACCCATGCATGTATGTATGTCTGCGTATATAATATATAGAATACGTTTTATAAAAAACTATTCTGCTGAGGTGATAGGAGGAAAGTGCTGCCTAGGAGCAGGAGCAGAGCGCCCTCTAGGTGACAGGAGGAAAGCGCCGCCTAGTGGCAGGAGGTAAGTGCCCCCTGGGTGGCAGGAGGACAGTGCCCATGGGGGGCCGGAGGAGAGCGCCCCCTGGGTGGGAAGAAGAGAGCACCCCCTGGGTGGCAGGAGGGTGGCGCCCCCTGGGTGGCAGGAGGGTGGCGCCCCCTAGGTGGCAGGAGGGTGGCACCCCCCCTAGGTGGCAGGAGGAGAGCGCCCCCTAGGTGGCGGGAGGAGAGCGCCCCCTAGGTGGCAGGAGGAGAGCGCCCCCTGGGTGGCAGGAGGAGAGCGCCCCCTGGGTGGCAGGAGGAGAGCACCCCCTAGGTGGCAGGAGCAGAGCGCCCCCTAGGTGTCAGGAGCAGAGCGCCCCTTAGGTGACAAGAGCAGAGCGCCCCCTAGGTGGCAGGAGGAGAGCGCCCCCTGGGTGGCAGGAGGAGAGCGCCCCCTAGGTGGCAGGAAGAGAGCACCCCCTAGGTGACAAGAGCAGAGCGCCCCCTAGGTGACAGGAGCAGAGCGCCCCCTAGGTGGCAGGAAGAGAGCGCCCCCTAGGTGGCAAGAGCAGAGCGCCCCCTAGGTGGCAGGAGCAGAGCGCCCCTTAGGTGGCAGGAGGAGAGCGCCCCCTAGGTGGCAGGAGGAGAGCGCCCCCTAGGTGGGAACCAGGAGCAACCCCCCCCAAAAACCCCCCAAACCCCCCCCAAAACCCCCCAAACCCCCAAACCCCCCAACAACCCCCCACAAAACCCCCCCAAAAACCCCCCAAAAACCCCCCAAACCCCCCAAAACCCCCCACAAACCCCCCCAAAGAGCGCCCCCTAGGTGGCAGGAGGAGAGCGCCCCCTGGGTGGCAAGAGGAGAGCGCCCCCTAGGTGGCAGGAGCAGAGCGCCCCCTAGGTGGCAGAGAACGCCCCTAGGTGGCAGGAGCAGAGCGCCCCCTAGGTGGCAGGAGGAGAGCGCCCCCTAGGTGGCAAGAGAGCGCCCCCTAGGTGAGAGAAGCGCCCCCTAGTGGCAGGAAAGAGCCCCCCTAGGTGGAGGAAGAGCGCCCCTAGGTGCAGAGCAGAGCGCCCCCTAGGTGGGAGGAGCAGAGCGCCCCCTAGGTGGGAGGAGCAGAGCGCCCCCTAGGTGGCAGGAGGAGAGCGCCCCCTGGGTGGCAAGAGGAGAGCGCCCCCTAGGTGGGAGGAGGAGAGCGCCCCCTGGGTGGCAGGAGCAGAGCGCCCCCTAGGTGGGAGGAGGAGAGCGCCCCCTAGGTGGCAGGAGCAGAGCGCCCCCTGGGTGGCAGGAGGAGAGCGCCCCCTAGGTGGCAGGAGGCAAGCGCCCCCTGGGTGGCAGGAGGAGAGCGCCCCCTAGGTGGGAGGAGGAGAGCGCCCCCTGGGTGGGAGGAGGAGAGCGCCCCGTGGGTGGCAGGAGCAGAGCGCCCCCTAGGTGGCAGGAGGACAGCGCCCCCTAGGTGGCAGGAGGAGAGCGCCCCCTAGGTGGCAGGAGGAGAGCGCCCCCTAGGTGGCAGGAAGAGAGCGCCCTCTAGGTGACAAGAGCAGAGCGCCCCCTAGGTGGGAGGAAGAGAGCACCCCCTAGGTGGGAGGAGCAGAGCGCCCCCTAGGTGGCAGGAGGAGAGCGCCCCCTGGGTGGCAAGAGGAGAGCGCCCCCTAGGTGGCAGGAAGAGAGCACCCCCTAGGTGGCAGGAGGAGAGCGCCCCCTGGGTGGCAGGAGGAGAGCGCCCCTAGGTGGGAGGAAGAGAGCGCCCCCTAGGTGGGAGGAGCAGAGCGCCCCCTAGGTGGCAGGAGGAGAGCGCCCCCTGGGTGGCAAGAGGAGAGCGCCCCCTGGGTGGCAGTAGGAGAGCGCCCCCTAGGTGGCAGGAGGATAGCGCCCCCTGGGTGGGAGGAGGATAGCGCCCCCTAGGTGGCAGGAAGAGAGCGCCCCCTAGGTGGCAGGAAGAGAGCGCCCCCTAGGTGGCAGGAGGAGAGCGCCCCCTGGGTGGCAAGAGGAGAGCGCCCCCTAGGTGGCAGGAGGCAAGCGCCCCCTGGGTGGCAGGAGGAGAACGCCCCCTGGGTGGGAGGAGGAGAGCGCCCTGTGGGTGGCAGGAGCAGAGCGCCCCCTAGGTGGCAGGAGGAGAGCGCCCCCTAGGTGGCAGGAGGAGAGCGCCCCCTAGGTGGCAGGAGGAGAGCGCCCCCTGTGTGGGAGGAGGAGAGTGCCCCCTGGGTGGGAGGAGGAGAGCGCCCCCTGGGTGGGAGGAGGAGAGCACCCCCTAGGTGGGAGGAGGAGAGCGCCCCCTAGGTGGGAGGAAGAGAGCGCTCCCTGGGTGGCAAGAGGAGAGCGCCCCCTGGGTGGGAGGAGCAGAGCGCCCCCTAGGTGGCAGGAGGGTGGCTCCCCCTGGGTGGAAGGAGCAGAGCGCCCCCTGGGTGGCAGGAGGGTGGCGCCCCGTAGGTGGCAGGAGGAGAGCGCCCCCTGGGTGGGAGGAGCAGAGCGCCCCCTGGGTGGCAGGAGGATAGCGCCCCCTAGGTGGCAAGAGCAGAGCGCCCCCTAGGTGACAAGAGCAGAGCGCCCCTTAGGTAACAAAAGCAGAGCGCCCCCTGGGTGGCAGGAGGAGAGCGCCCCCTAGGTGTCAGGAGGAGAGCGCCCCCTGGGTGACAGGAGGAGAGCGCCCCCTAGGTGTCAGGAGGAGAGCGCCCCCTAGGTGGCAAGAGGAGAGCGCCCCCTAGGTGGCAGGAAGATAGCGCCCCCTAGGTGGCAGGAGGAGAGCGCCCCTGGGTGGTAGGAGGAGAGCGCTCCCTGGGTGGCAAGAGGAGAGCGCCCCCTAGGTGGGAGGAAGAGAGCGCCCCCTAGGTGGGAGGAGCAGAGCGCCCCCTAGGTGTCAGGAGGAGAGCGCCCCCTGGGTGGCAAGAGGAGAGCGCCCCCTAGGTGGGAGGAGGAGAGCGCCCCCTAGGTGGGAGGAGCAGAGCGCCCCCTGGGTGGCAGGAGGGTCGCGCCCCCTGGGTGGCAGGAGGAGAGCGCCCCCTAGGTGACAGGAGGGTGGTGCCCCCTAGATGGCAGGCAGGAAGAGAGCGCCCCCTAGGTGGCAGGAGGATAGCGCCCCCTAGGTGGCAGGAGGAGAGCGCCCCCTAGGTGGCAGGAGGATAGCGCCCCCTGGGTGGGAGGAGGATAGCGCCCCCTAGGTGGCAGGAGGAGAGCGCCCCCTAGGTGGCAAGAGGAGAGCGCCCCCTAGGTGGGAGGAAGAGAGCGCCCCCTGGGTGGGAGGAAGAGAGCGCCCCCTGAGTGGCAGGAGGAGAGCGCCCCCTAGGTGGCAGGAAGAGAGCGCCCCCTAGGTGGCAGGAAGAGAGCGCCCCCTAGGTGACAAGAGCAGAGTGCCCCCTAGGTGGCAGGAGGAGAGCGCCCCCTGGGTGGGAGGAGGAGAGCGCCCCCTGGGTGGGAGGAGGAGAGCGCCCCCTAGGTGGGAGGAGGAGAGCGCCCCCTGGGTGGGAGGAGGAGAGCACCCCCTAGGTGGGAGGAGGAGAGCGCCCCCTAGGTGGGAGAGAGAGCGCTCCCTGGGTGGCAAGAGGAGAGCGCCCCCTGGGTGGGAGGAGCAGAGCGCCCCCTAGGTGGCAGGAGGGTGGCTCCCCCTGGGTGGAAGGAGCAGAGCGCCCCCTGGGTGGCAGGAGGGTGGCGCCCCGTAGGTGGCAGGAGGAGAGCGCCCCCTGGGTGGGAGGAGCAGAGCGCCCCCTAGGTGGCAGGAGGGTGGCGCCCCCTAGGTGGCAGGCAGGAAGAGAGCGCCCCCTAGGTGGCAGGCAGGAAGAGAGCGCCCCCTAGGTGGCAAGAGCAGAGCGCCCCCTAGGTGACAAGAGCAGAGCGTCACCTAGGTAACAAAAGCAGAGCGCCCCCTCGGTGGGAGGAGGAGAGCGCCCC